TTTAATTTTTCTGGCTGTGACAAGGAATACTTTTCTAGTTCTATGTAGATCATCCATTACAGAAAGAAAGACTTGTTTTAATTTTTCTGGCTGTGGTTTAGAAGTACTAGAGTTTCATTCAACAATCTCCTTTTGCCCTCCTTTTGCCTCTTACCTTCCACAAAGAAACTATCTCTATGTCCTCAAGGTATTGATGTAATATAGTGAATGTCACAAAGTAGCCACAGGATTCATTTTAAAATATCCATCACTATGAACACAATCATTTGACTGAATTGCTTTTAAACAAGAGTTTTTGACCTTATGTTTCTGGATGTACACAAATTCCATCTTATATGTTCAAACCTTGATATGGACAACAGGGAGTCTAATTCTCTAACATTTGTTAGACACAATTTTACAAAGATATTTGCAGTTCAAAATTCACATGACTCCCACTAAAATAAATCTCCACCAAATTACACTTACCTTTGTAGGAGAAAATTGCCATCAATAAGATCTAAATATATATATGGCAGTAGCTCTCTCTCATAGGTTGATTGTAAATGTTTGCTTTGATGAATGCTATGGATACTGCTCTGTGCTTTTGGCTTCCTGCCATATTCAGCGAAAAGTCCTACATGACCACTGAAAGCTTTCTATATCTGAAAATTACTTTTCTGGGAAAATACCACTTTAAAGATGAAATACCTTTGGGAAGGGAACATAGATAAAATGTTTTATATGGATAAATGAATCCAATAAAATAATGTAGCACCCTGGTTCTGCTAAAGCAAAAAGTCTGTGGATGAGTAGGTGAAAACTTGTAGCACTGTTAAGCATAGCAAATGCTGTGAATTGTGAAAAGGGAAAACTGGAATTCTGCTCATTGATAATCACTGGGTTCAACAAATGTGGCAAAAGTGCATGAAAGAAAGAGGTTGTTTAATTTTCTGATATTATACAATGATTATAAAAATATTTTTTATTAAGCATCTCTAAGTACTGGTGAATATGCCCTATATTTTAAATATATTTACACACAGTTTATCTTTGAAACAGCATTTGATCTATTAACTTGTACATACTACGTGAATGCTAAGAACATTAATGGTTTTCAGTCATATATATGCATTAAACCAGTACAGGGTGGCTAAGTGAAGAACTTTGGTTTTAATATCTCCTTACATTAGAAGATCTCAAACTTTAGGGAAAATGTGAATTCATTTGAAGCCTTGT